ATGTGTGTGTGTGTGTCTGTGTGTCTGTGTGTGTGCTTGTGGCTGCCTCTGTGTGTGTGTGTGTGTGTCCATTTGTGCCTGTGTCCGTATCATGTCTCTCTTGTGTCTGCATGCATGATAGTTCTGCCCGTCGGCCTGTCATTGCGTTTGAGCTGCTGCGTCCTGGTTACATCCGCCACGGCCCACATCTTCGCCTCGCGTTTTCCTGGATTGACGCTTGCCTTCGCTGTCAAACCGTTCTCACCTCTCATTGCCTGCCTCGGCTTGGTGCGCAGGTCATGCAAGTTGTATTGAATGCGAGCGAAGACAGGAGACATCAGCGAAGAAGTCGTCGTCGTCGTCGTCGTCGTCGGCAACGTGGTGGAGACAGTAGTGATGATGGTGATGATGATGGTGAAGATGATGACAGCGAAGACAGCGGTGATGATGATGATGGTGCCACCGACGCAGCTCCTGTTGTGCTCTGTACACTGATTGTAAAGTCGAACACCAATCATCACACCGTGCTGCTGCTTCAACGTGTGCTGCTGGTTGCTATATGAACCAGCTATGGAGATTTTTCGATTGTCTCCCGCTTGCTCTTCACACACACACACACACACACACACACACACACACACACACACACACGTACAGATGATGATGGCGAGAATGGCGGCGACGATGAGACCGATGATGATTCGCGCCTGAAAGTGAAAGAGATACGGTGTAATCGCACGTGAGCAGAGGAAAGAAATGTGCACAGCTGACTATGAAAGACGATGACGTGTACACCCAGGACAACTACTGCAACTACTACATCGATGATAAGAGACACATACACAAATAAACACACACAACCACGCAAACACATATGCACACAACCACACACACACACAAATACACACACACAACCACACAACCACAAACACACACACACAACCACACGCACAAATACACACACACATACACGAACAAACGCACATACGCATTCCCCCCCTTCTCTTCCTTCTCTCAAGCTCCGCCTTACCCGCGTTCGCTTCCACCAGAGTTCGCGTGTTAGTCTCCGCGATCCTCGCTGGAAGGCAAACGACCCCTGCATCAGCACCTCCGATCTTACAGTGGCAACACACACGGCAGCAATGACATTGTAAAGGCATGTCAATTGGAGTGGTTGACGAAATCGAGCGCTGGTATCACGGCACGCCGACTTTCAACACACGCATCCGTCCAATGCAAACACACCATGCAATGCGAACACACACATGAGTACACACATGTGCACACATGAGTACACACATGCGCATACAACACGCACGAGCCACATGGTGCCGCTCACTTGTCTTCCAAGTCGTCAAGTTTGCCGCCGCGTTCCAGCACTTTGCCGATGTTCTGCTTCATCACATCCACAGCCTCATCTACCTCTCGTTGTGCACTGGTCGAGAAGAAAAACAAACAATGACGTAATGTCAATACGACGGAGGCGTGCGTTTGGCAGCGCTGTGAGCACGAGACATGTTGAAGGTTACCTCTCAAAGGGTTCATGCAAACAAAACACGCACACGCACACGCACACGCACACAAGCTCATACACGCACGCACACACGCACACACACACAAGCTCATACACGCAATGCCTACACGTGCATATGTGCACACGTGCATATGTGCACACGTGCACACGCACCCGCACACACACACACATGAATGACAGGTTCTCACGTTCTTAGCGCCGTGTCATCGTGTCCCGCTGGCTGAGCGCCTCGCCTTGATGACGCGCCTCGAGTGTGATCGTGGATATCGAAGATGTCCTCATCCGAATCGTCATCCAACAGTGACCTGGATGCAGCGTACACGGCTCAATTGCCGGCAAGCAAGATGAGCACGCTAGGGAGGATGACGACGGTGGCAACACGGAGGAGCAGCACAACGGCGTCGTGAACGCAGGTACAGGCTCATGCACAAGCACAAGCACAAGCATGCATGGATACAAGCACGCACAGGCACACGCACAGATTCAACTGCGACAAGAACACACGCACACCAACCTCCGGGCAGCTTCGTTGGGGTCGTCCACCATGCCCACACGGCGAAACTTGGGTGGCATGGCGTATTGTTGTGAAGCCACTCACACACACACACACACACCGAGCGAGGTGAACGGTAGACGAGAGGAAGAGGCAAAGAAAGAGAGGGGAGGCGCAGAGACACAAGCGAGACGATGACGAGAAAACGAGAAGCGGTGCTCAAACACAGCAACAACAGCCAACACCACAGTTGCAAGTCTTGGCGATTGGTGAATGGTTTCCATTGTTTTTCGACCGTTGTGGACGTTGATGACTTGGAACGATGAGCAGCGCGCTGGATGCGGGGCAGGTGGGGTGCTATCGCACGCCAGACTCTGTGAAGAACCTGCGCATTTGCCTCCGCTACCGACGCATCGATGATGTGCTTGCCCTCGACAACGGTTGGTCGTTGATGTGTGTGTGTGTCTGTGTCTGTGTGTGTGTGTGTGTCTGTG